ATCTTTCCCAAAAATGGAAGCTGTATTTCATTTTTTGTAAAGAGTCTCAACCTGTTCGCAAGCTTTCACAACATAATCAGAAAATCAGGGATCATTTCCAAGAAGGTACACAGAATGAAAAAATATGTACCTTTGTCACATCGAGCTACTCTTTGGATAGACACACATCGTGCATATACTCAACTGACTGGATCTGTGGATTGGTTATTCTTAATTAATTGAGTAAAATGATTTTCCACAGGACTTTGGTCTTTGATATTACATTTCACCACGTATTTATAATTTGCCACTCTTGACTTATCTGCTAATAACTTCCTTATGCTGTGTAGATCTAAAACTTTATGTAATTAATGACCATAAAAACTTTGAAGAGTTGGCCATTTCTTCACAACTTGGGTAGAAGTGTTTCTCTTATCTCAAAAGAACAACTAAAGACTTCAGAAGAGTACCACCATTTGTTAGAACTGTTCAATCCAACCCAACGATGAAGAAAGGTGCCGACTTACCATATGATTGGGAAATTCTATTCCATATTGCAGGAATGTATTTTAGACCACCCATTGTTTTCAGAAATGTAAAAATACCTTTATACTAAATCGAGTAAATGTGTCCATCTGGAACCACATTTGCTTGTGTGCACACTCTCCAATTCTCATTTGTACATGCATATGTGCAAATGTTTTTAAATGATATTTTTGACAAACTCACATTCTGATGATAGCATACAGGGCCTCTATCTAATAGAATAGTCTTAACATTCGTTATAAGATGGAAGCGTTCAGAATACCAAAAGAGACAGACCTAAGTGGAAACCCCATGCATGATAACTTATAACTTTAGGAGAAAAATAAAGCCATCTTTAACTTATGACTGGGATATGGTCAGCATATTTCAATAGTGCCTTTCCACCCGAGGACATCCAGCTCTCCATTTAGAGTCAGGTGAAGACTCAGTGAAAATTACTGGCTTTATTCTAATTGTGGTAGTGAAGATTAGGGAGGTTGGGTGAGCACAAGTGGATTTGTCATTATTTTGCTAAGTGTCTTTGATGGTTTTACCTAGAAAATTATTAGATATGGCAACTGTATTAGCATATTTCTAGATGAAGAAATATGTTTTATCAGAGAGAAGATGGAGAGAAGATGGGCAGAAAAACGGTCCTACCGTTCCCTGGCATCCAATGCTGCAAGTCACCTATTTCTCTTTCTCTCTTGTTTCATTTTCTATTGGACCATGACCATCCTCAAAGGCAGAAACTTTGTGCCCCATGGAGCTAAGCACAGTTGCCAGCATCTGCAAGTGAAGGGACCATGAGATGGATATGGAAGCTGGGATCAGATTCCTAATTCTTCCCAAAGAAAATGGAGTTGGTGGGAATAGCAAGTTAATTCTCAGTGATGAGCAAGCACTGTTAGGAACGTTTGTAACTCCTAATGAACCACTGAGTAATTAGGATGCAGAGAAAAGTCACAGAGCAGGCTGCTACAAATCAACTGGGAGATGGGTTTAAGAAAAAAAAAAAAAAGCTGGCCAACGCAATTATCATCTGTCGTTATGAGAAGAAGGTGTTGTATAAAATATAATTATACAATGAATCATTTGGAGGAATTTCTAATGAAAAACTTTCTCTAGGAAAGATTAACCAGAAGTTGTGTCCACTGTCTGACACCAAGTTCGTAGCCCTCCTTGTCTTCTTTCTAAGCCTCCATAAATTCATGAGAAGCTTCTCTTTATCGATTTTATTTGCAGAATGTACTCAGGGTATAAAGTAATTTGATTTTTTTTAAATGGGGTTTAGGGTCTGCCCCTACAGGGTTATAACTTACCAAGCATAAAAGCCAACACATAAAAACAAACATACAATTTAAAGAGAGAAGGGCTCAAGGCAGCAGAACCTGGGAATCCAGCAAGATGGTGGGATTACTCCTGGGCACACCCCATCTCCCATATATCTGCTGAGCAGAAATCTCCTGGTGGGTGACATTTTGGATGCCTTTCATGCATAGCGTCGCTGAACTGTTTTGAAAAAAATGCATCAACCCCACAGAAAAGAGCACAATAGCTATTTAGCAAATAAGTAGGGGAACAAGAGAATTCTCTCTATTGTTTATCAGAGTTAAAAATAATACTGTTAATGTTAAAACCACCTTTGCAGTTCATGTAAAATTTGTCCTTTTCTCATCAAAGTCAGCAGCCCAGACTGATCGATGCTGTTAATGTTGTCCTAGTTCCAAGTCCTCATTCATGTGCAAGCTCTGCAGCTTGTAGGCTGTAAACCGGAGAATAATGCCTTATGTTTTTATACTTCTTTTACAGGGAATCTTTTTTTTAATTCTAAGCAATCGTGGGTAATTAAACTTTATAGAAGAATTTTTTTCTCTACCAACCTCATTAGGGTTCTGTTGCACTTGTCCATTGCCTCATAAAAAGAAAAAAAAAAAATGCTGCCGCATCTGTGCCTTACCCACTCTGTGCAGATTCTCGGCTCTCTGAGTCACACGGTATGCATTCGTGACAAGAAATCTCCACACTTGAAACCATAAATGCCGAGGAGGGCAAGCAAGGCAAGCGATAGGCTGCCCTGTATGGGGACAGGAAGGCACAGAGTGCTAGTGAAGGTAGAAAATGAATGGCCTTTGTGAGACTTTTTGGTGCCTGCATAATCATGACAGTTACATGAGTACAGCAAAGTGTGTACTTCGTTGTGCAGCAGAATAGCCACAACTTCAAAAGAGGCAGGGTTGCTGTGAACGGCTGGGGACACCAGTGGTTCACCTGGCCGCTAGCAGTCAGAACCCTTTGAAATGGAGTCTTAAAGGCAGAGCATCAAAAGGTATCCTCAGGACCTGCAAATAGTCACTATGACTGCAAACGAAAGGGCAACTCTAGCCTGTTGGGAATGGGCCAGTGGGCAATCTCTTTGGTGACACCTACGCGAATGGAAAAATATCACCACCCATAAGGGCATCTTTGAACACGGATGCAGGGATACCTCTGGGCCTCAGACACAAAGCCAAGCTGCTGCTCTTCGCTGGGAAGGGTTTTGCCTGACCCATCTATCATTCAAAATGTTTCACTTCAGAATTCCAACAACCCAGTGCTGGGATGCTGGTCCCGGGGGACTATAATCATTGTTGTGTTAACAGCCCACGTCACAGCTTCTGCTCAGCTCCATGGGCTGCTACTGAGGCTCGCCATGCACTGAGCATGGGATGGAAGGCTGTACCTGCAATGTCCTGGCAAATCCTGTCAGAGATTCTAGGAGCCCTATAATGCACCCCATTTCATAGACAAGGAAATGGGGGGCTTTAAGGAGATACTAAACATACCCAAAACTCCTCAGCAACAGAATGGTGGAACCCACCGCATTCTTAATCAGCACCTTCTATTTCTATAAACACCTTAAAGTTGCTTCATTAAATCATAAACTCATATTTTTTTGTGGAAAATACTTTCTAAAAAGGCACTTTCTCAAATTTCGCCATGTGAATAATACCTTCGAAAATAGTACTTATATATTTTAAACAATTGTCATTTGCAAATGAGTCCACTTGATAAGTTCCTTTGAAGCTAGAGTTTGAAATATAATTGAACCATCAATTTTTACCATGGTTATTATGGGCCTGGAACACATAATTAAAATGTGGATTGGATACATGGCAGAGAACCATGTTAACATATAAGCTAAGAAGAATGAAGCTATAGAAGAACTTCCCAACTACAGCCAGCTATCAAGGAGCAGAGATGCTAGATGGACCAGTCCTAGAGTCCCAGGAATTTTTCCAAGACGGTGTTTCTCAAAGTACAGCTCATAGGACCATGTGCTTCAGTGTCGTCTGGGGGGCTTGCTAAAAAATGCATTCCTTGGATTTAAGCCTGGGAATCTAGGTTTTAACTAGATTAGGTGATTTTATGCACAACAAAGTAGGAGAGCTTGTGCTCTAGACCAGACTAACTCACTCACTTGTGGCAGAGATTGGGAAAATGTTATAAGGAATAGAACATTGCAAGACAAGGGAACTATGGTCTGTAAGTCCCTGTAGAGACTGGCTGCACCAGACTTCCAGAGACAACCTGCATCCTTGCACCAGTGTCTTGTGTACATACAAGAGCTGGCAGCTGTGGTCCCAGGGGGTCTGAGCCACCAGGGGACAGTCACTATATGCAACAATACCTCTTCCACACAGTTTTCTGAAACCCCCTGACTAGAGATGACAGCTTTCGGGTGACTCCATTTTCAGTGATGTCTTTCTCTTTCCAATTCTTCTTTTTGGCCTTCTTTGAAAACCAAAGGCATTCCAACAGAAAAAATAAACAAAGCTGATATCACTTTAGTATAAATTTTATTATCTATAAAAAAGCAGGGCTGAACAAGATATTAATAATAACTCTTTTTAAACCTTTTTGAGTGCATTATCTCGTTTTGCTCCAATAAAACATATAATGTAGTCAGTATTCTCTTGTTGCACATGCGGAGATTAAGATCCTCCCCAAGATCGTGCAGATAATAATCAACGGAACCATTTATTTATTCCTTCAACAAATGTGTATTTATTTTTTTTTTTTTTTTATTTTTTTTTTGTTGTGTGCCAAGTACTATTACTGGCCCTGGAATAGTGATGAGTAAAGCAGAGAAGGAACCTCACATTCTAGTCACCAATCCAGGAGGACATGAATCAGGGTCACTGGACCAGAAATCCAAGTGCTATCACCTATCATTGAAACTCCCTCCCCAGTCATCACAGCTCTGCCACCCCTGATCTCCTGGGATCCACCTGCCTGTGTGTTTTAGGATCTAACAAAATTCTGGGAGCCTGTGTGGGAGCATAGCAATGAGAGTAGGAGAGAGAATCTAAGGAAAAGGAAGTGAGTAGAAAAAAATAAGTCAAGTCACAACTCTAACCACCTCACTAATTTTATGACTCTGTCTTGGTTTCTGGCTAGCCTTGCTCCTGCATAACACATTCTTATATTATCTACCTTGTCTTACCCTTCTGCAGCAGCAGCATTGGTGTGTTCTTCTGTGGACCCAAAGCTCTCTCAAAGATGCTTCAAAGGATGTGCCGCTTATATTCCTCAGCTGACCCCATGGGTGTCCATTTTTACTACAACAAAGAAAGCTTCTAAACCTTGGAGAAAAAATCCCATGTGTTATGTAAGTGGCTACAATCATGTAGGTCAGCAGTCAGGAAATGTTTCCTGTAAAGAGCCACAGAATAATTATTTTAGGTTCCATGGACCATATGATCTCAGTCACAACTACTCTACTCTACTGCTTTAATGCATCGAAGTGGCCACAAAGAATAAATAAGTTAAGGTATGGGCATGGCTGTGTGCCAATAAAACTTTATTTATGGACATTGAAATCATACTTCCATGACCAATCATTTTGTCATGGAACATTCTTTTGATTTGTTCCTAATGATTTAAAAATGTACAAGTCATTCTTAGCTCATGGGCTTTCCAAAAATCAGATGGTGGCCCAGATTTGGCCTTCAGGAAGTACTTTGCTGACCCCTGATAGACGTCATTTTTCTCAAACTTGTTTTCGTGCTCAACATTGCATCCAACATGGAGACTGATATGGCTGCCTGGCTCAGAGTCTCCTTTAGAAGTCATTTCAAATTTCATCACCCTCATGGCAGACATCTGCTTCCTAGCCAAACCTGATCTTTTCTGCTTAAACTTAGTCTCCTCTGTTCTTTCTTTTCATCCTCTATAGACCTAAGAAATCACCAATGGGGGTTATCTTCCACAAAAATCCTTTATATCTTGAAAGTGATAAAATCATCTCTTAACTCTCTCTTTTCTAGTCCAAACAATACTAGATTCTTAACCTTTCAGCCTAGGGTATATATTCTAGCCCTTCAATCATTCTTGTTGGTCTTCTTCAAATCCATTTCCATTTCTTCACATCCTTTTAAAATGTGTGGGCTAAAATGAGACATAATGGGGTGCCTGACTAGCTCAGTGTGTTAAGCCTCTGTCTTCGGCTCAGGTCATGATCTCAGGGTGCTGGATCAAGCCCTGCATCAGGCTCTCTGCTCAGTGTGGAGCCTGCTTCCACCTCTCTCTGCCTGCTGCTCTGCCTACTTGTGATCTCTCTCTGTCAAATAAATAAATAATAATATTTTAAAAAATAAAATAAGACATAACGTTCTCACAGATGCATGACTAGTATTGGGAAGAAAAGTGATTTTTTAGATATTGTGTGCCATGTTTTTCAATACAGCTAAACTCTGTATTTGCCTCTCTTTCTTTCCTTCCTTCCACACTTTTTTCTTACTCTTTTTTAATGCATACTTCTTATTACTACCACATTTTATTTTCTTTTTCTTTTTTTTAGTAAGCTCCACACCCATTGTGAGACTTGAACTCACAACCCAAGATCGAGTCACATGCTCTACCAACTAAGCCAGCCAGGGGCCCCTACAATCACATTTTGAGCTATGATCATCTTGACACTTATACCCCAACTCAACTTGTGCCCCACAAATACAATGGGAATTTTTTTTAATTTTATATTCCCATTGACCCCATTTTTTTTTTTTTTACCACCAGCTACTTGATCCCCAGAATGTTCCTAAGGTATTTCCTACATCTTATAGTTTTCTCAAATAGTATTGATTAATCTTTTAGAATTTTTCTTTCTAATATTTCAAGATTGTTCTCAAGTTCAGCCCCAGATAATAATACTAGTACTTAGCTTCATAATATTCATAGATTTAATGATATCTCAAACCTTTTGTTTAGGTTTTCAACCAAATTATTGAATCCAAAGATCTCTACCATGAATTCTTGCAACCGCCTGTTAAAATGAGTTCCCAGTCGGGAACAAGTTGATGATAACTAGCCATTGAGAATCGTACACAACGTCATACTCTCTTAGCTTATAACTAACATGACATATGCAACAGAACAAAAACATTTCTTGAAGTTAAAATAGATTATGTTTTACAAATGCTTCTTATCTTTGTAGACCATTATTATGCCATGAAAGAGGATTAAATTGGTCTGACATGATTTGTTTTTACAAAGTCAGGCAGCCACTTAAGCTCTTTAAGAGATTTCTGAATTATAAATTGATCATTTCTTTTACTTTATACTCGGATATTAACTTTGATTCTATGATTTCTAGGGTCTATTTTAAAATACACACTAGGAAAAAAGGTGGGCATATTCCCTCATGTCTCTAAAATTATTTCTACTTTTCTGAATTGGAATTTCTTAGTATCTTTAAGTGTCATTTGATAGATATCACTCAAACTCTACTAATTCTAATATACACAGTCTTTCTGTGTATTCATTTCCCCACTTAAGTTTGATACAGCTTTTATAAGAACCTTCTGCAATGTATATAACTAATCTTTAACAGGAAAATCAAATGTATTAAAAAGTTTTCCTCGGTTGTATTCAATTATTAGTTTTAATTCCCTATTTGAAAATAAATGCACTTTTAAGCCATTGGATTTTTGTCTAATAAATTAAAGGATATTTGTTCTTAAAAACAGATTTCCTTTTTTAAAAAGAACAGATTTCAGTCTTTCTACATTTCTCTCAATTTTGTGGAAACCTAAAACCGTTCTTTAAAAAATAAAGTCTTTTAAAAAAAAAAACTGATTTTGCTGCGGTTTTTTTTAAATCTATTTACTTGAGAGAGAGAGCTGGAGCAGGAAGGAGAGGCAGAAGCAGACCCCTGCTGAGCAGGGGAGTCCTGCAGGGGGCTCAATTCCAAGACTCCAGGATCATGACCTCATCTGAAGTCAGACCTTTAATTGACTGAGCCACCCGTGTGCCCCGTGCTGTAGTTTTTTAAAAATTTCTGCTCTTTGCATCCCCTTTTTAGTTTTGACCTTTATGCTACTTCCCTAGATACTATGTAGAAACTGACGTATCTTGACAGAAAAATTTTTTTAAAAATCCGATGTCTTTAATGCAGCAATAACCAACAGAAAATGTGGGCTTTGTTTAAAAAGGAAATGATCCATTCAAAATAGAAATAAATACGTAGCAAACTTATAAATTTATTTAATACAAATTATGCAAGATGATTTGATAAATGACCAAACATTTATAAAGAGACATTTTCAAATGGAAAGAAATAACATGTTTCTAAATGGGAACATCAATATCAAAGTACCAAATAGTTCCAAATTAATTAATATGTTACACAAAATTCCAATCAAAATTTGACTTCTTGTTATGATTTTTTGAAATGCTAGATATTCTAAAGTTCATCTGGAAGAATATATGAGAAAGACAGAAGCAAAATACATGTGAAAAAGATAAAGGAAGAAAAGAGGGGAGAAAAGAAAGAACAAAAAAAAAAAAAAGGAAGGGAAGAGAAAGGAAAAGAAAATTCAACATCCAGGAACATCATCGTGAAGAAGACCCTAAAGTAACTAGAGAGAAAAACGTTAAATTACCTACAAATTAACAATAAATCTGACAGCTGCCTTCTCAAAAGCATAAACAGAGATCAGATGATAATGAAATAATACCTTCAAAGTGCTAAAGGAACAGGACTATCAGTTGAGAATTTTGCACTCAGTGAAATTATTACCCAAAGTGAAGGCAAAATACAGATATTTTCAAACACAAGAAAACTAAAAATGTATCTCCCTCACTGAAACAACTACAGAAAGATATATTTAAAGAAGGAGGAAATTCAATTAATGTGATACAAGAAGAAGTGGTGAGCAAAGACATTGAAAGACATTTTGTCAAAATCTTTAAGCATTGACTGTAAAAGAAAATGAATGATTATTTCAGAAGGAATGCTTTTAGAAGTAAAATGGAAATATTAGAAAACAATGGTATGGAAGATGGGAGCATGACATTGGAATCAAGGTATTCCAATGTCCATCTATGTTCAGAGGATAAAAGAAATATTGATTAAATATTGCCTTTGTAATGTTCTATAAATAACTTAAAGGGATAACTCAAAACAGATTCCCTGCTCACCATCATTCCTTTGAACCTAACTTCTCCATTCTTGAGTTTTGTCCAGCCTAAACAATTAATTTTTTGGATTGTCAACCAGTATGCTTTAAGAAGGACCATGAGTGTTATATTCCCTGATTTAATTCATATTTGAGAATGTTGTCTGCTGCTTTTTCACTCACCTGATAGTTAGCTGGATGTAGTATTCTTGGACCATATTTTCTTCTCCTCAGAACTTTTTAGAAATTACTCCAACATTTGCTGTCATTGGGCATTGCTGTGGTGATGTATAAGGCCAAATTCATTCTCTCCCCCTTATAAATAAATCATCTTTTTAATTTTTTTTCAATGAAAAGTATAAATATTAATATTCAAATTAGGTGGGATAAGCAAAGATTATAAATTACCTCACAGCTGTTCAGAACAGATCATGCTACCATGTTGGTTAACAAAAAACCCTCTAACTTTTCTTAGTTTTTTGGATTTTGGAATTCAGCTTAGGGAGAGATTATGGACTTGAAATTCAGCTGTCAGTAATGTCTATTTTATTCCTTACTAAGGTTTACAATTTTTTAATTAGTTCTATAAAGATATTGTTTGTCACTCCAACTTTTTACAAAATTATGAAACAATAGAATGAGATCTGCAATATCCTTTTTGATCTCATTCTGTTGTTTCATAATTTTTTCTTTTTTCTCTGTCTTATTAACTTACTATTCTTATTCAGTTCAGCATTATATGAAGCAATATTGAGGAATTACCTGAGTTATAATTTCTACTAGATTGGGTTTCTTTTTTCCTTATGCTCCATTGGTTATTTTCCCTTTTCTTTTCTCCTGTAGTACTTTTGCACTGTTGCTATGCTTCGTGTGCGTGTGTGTATGTTTGTGTGTGTGTGTGTCTGTGTTTTACCTTGCTTGTGTTAGCTAACTCTGCCCAGACATTTTAATGATTCTTACATATTGTGAATAATTGTGGAGGGTTTTTCTCTGTGCTTTCTCTAAGACCATGTTCTCACTCTCACTCTTGCTTTCTTTTTTTACTATATAAAAGCTTTATTGAGGGGCACCTGGGTGGCTCAATGAGTTAAGCATCTGCCTTTGGCTCAGGTCATGATCCCAGGGTCTTGGGATCTAGCCCTTCATTGGGGCTCAGCGAAGTGTCTGCTTCTCCCTCTTCCCCTGCCCCTCCCCATGCTCATGCTCTCTCTCTCTCTCTCTCAAATAAATAAATACTATCTTTTGAATATATATACATAATATATATAAAATCTTTGTTGAGATATAATTTACATACCATAACATTAACCATTTAAAGTG